ATCTATATATATATTATATATATATATATATATATATTTTTTTTTTTTAAATTTTTTTTTAAGATGCTTTATGGTGAATTATTCAAAGATACTTAACCTTGTCATTGTGCTTTTTTTCTGTTTATAATCTCATGGTATGATGTGCACAAACCCATGATATTTGTTTTCTGTTCTTCTGTCATTGATAGCTCATTGTTAAAGATACAACCATGCATCTTTCCCTGACCTTGTATGTAATTATAAGTTCTGCAAAAAAAAAAAAGGAAAAAAAGGCGACAGGTGCACTAACACCTCAGCATCAGTAACTCGACAACCCTACCTAGTACGGTTTTCCTACCTAGTATGGCGTTTGCAATGTCTACACAAAGGAGACGTCGGGCAGCTGCTCGAAGATCTCGCCTTTGGAGAAGACTGTTGATTTTACTCAAAAAATGTAAGTAATACAACTTACAAATTAAGATTACCCCAGATTGTATTGCATTGCTAGCCCACCCCAAAACTTACATGCAATAATAATGATAAATGCTGACCAATACTTAATTATATTACATATTTTCTTACTGAAAATTCGATATTTTAGTAAAACAAGTCAAATCTAATTTAATTGTCAAATGACCTATGCACGAATACACACGAGACAAATGCAAAAATACACATTTTCAGTCAGTGAATTAATGCATGAATTAATGTAATAACTATATTTTATTTACTGACAACAATGGGAAACATGAAAAAAAGAATGAATAAAAGTAATCATCACAATAAATAAATAAATTACAAGTGAACAACACATGAAACAAAGCTTTATTCAAATTTATCGTTCCAAGAAACTATCACGTATTTACAGGCGGTGAACCCAACATTCCCACACCATAGCTGTGCCAATTCTGCGGCTTTATTCTGATGAAGCAGCTGACCACCGTGCCCACCTTCGCTTGTCTGCTGTCCATCATGTACGGTACCTCATTGCTGCAGTCAGATTGGAATCTGATCATGGATGGGAAAGAGACATCAAGGCCATCCTTGCCTGAGTGCACCTATCAGCCTCATCACCCCAGAGCCTGTACAGAACACTGTGCAGGTTCGTTTCAACAACAAGCACTCCTGTGCATAAAGCATAGTAGAGCGAGCCTATGGCATGCTGAAAAAACCCTGGTGCTCTATTTTCTTAAAGGCCTTAGAGTTGAGCCCTGCCTTCGCACTGAGGTTGTTGCATGCTGCGCTGTGCTTCACAATCTCGCTCTTTTCAATAGGGAAATATTTGAGCCAGAGGATGTGGAAGACCACGATGACAGCCCCCTAAACCCCACAACCTTGAAGCAAGAGTGGGAGAACATGTGTGGGACAATCTGGCAGCCGCTGTGTTTGTAGGGTTGCACTAGGATTTAGGGTGATAAATAAGTATAAGGTTATTGCACATACTTTAAATGCACAATGGGAGAAAATTAACTGTTCATGAGGTAGATTGCCTGGGGAAAGAAACTGTTCTTGTGCCTGGCTGTCCTGGTATTCGGTGCTCTGTAACGCCGACCAGATGGCAAAAGTTCAAAAAGGAGATGGCTTGGATGTGATGGATCCAGAGTGATTTTCTGAGCCCTTTTTCTCACTCTGGATGTATACAGTTCTTGGAGGGTAGGCAGGGGGGCAGTCATATCTGTATTAGAAGTAACAAAATGATCTGACTTTATATTTTGTGTCAGGTTTTCTTCGTCACCTTGCCTTCCAGTCCCTGCTCCACCACAAAAGCTCTGCAGCAAATGCAAAGAAATCAAGAATCAGAAAAATGCTGTAATAACTCTGTTTGAAATTACAATAATTAAAATAAACTACAGCTTAAGATTTAAGATTTCATTTCTGTAGTATACTCACTCAAACCCTTTGATGGCAGCATTCCTTCATCAGTCGGATAAGTACACGTGTGTGCTCATCTGTCCCTGTAACCAAAGTCCCCTTGGTTCTATTTATTATTGTTATTGTTATTATTATTGGTTCTATCCCTATCCCTATTCTATAGTCTTTGCTGTAACATCCAGACAAGATTCAAATCCTCTATGATTTATGTGCTCAATACTACATTTAAATGTTGAGGTAGTTGCTGATGTGTAAGCTTTCACAATCCAACACAAATGTTCTGCAATTTAAGATTACCACTTTGACGCTCTATAGGCGTTGTTGTTGAGTGCTCCAAATGCAAACTTTGCATGCAACAATCCAGCAACAATTGACAGCACTCTGATCCAATGGCATACAGGTATTGTCAAATTGACAGTACTCTAGCCCAATGATGTTGGGGGATCCAGTGGGGGTAGCAATCATATTTCAGGGTGGCCGTGCCACTCTTTATCACAACCCTGCTAAAATGTGGTACCAGTATGTGCACTCATTGGCGTCCCCTCCTGCTGGTGGCGCCCTAGGCAACCGCCTAGATTGCCTATGCCTGGAAACGGTACTGCAACTGACAGAACATTGCATGACATTCAATTTATGACTATAACACATGCAACAACTAATAGGCTAACAAAAAACTGAATAAGATGAACATTTAAAATGTAATATTGTAAAACTGTTTTCTGTGTTTTAATAAACTTTAACCATATTTTATAGCTTTATACTCCACATCTACATTTTGCTCCTCCTTCCTTTTTTCATTTCAGATTCAACTTCATACCTCACCTTCTTTCTGCTCTCTCCTTCCTTTCTTCCATATCCTACTTAAATTTCCTGACTGCACACTCATTTCGGTTTTCTGAAAAATGTCAATATTCACGCATTAGGCCA